TTCCAGATCGGTTGCACCAATTTCATTCCCATCAGCAAGGTATGAGTGAACCTTTTCCCCCTGACATTCTCACCAACATTTATTGTTGCTTGTATTCTTGATAATTGCCATTCTAACCAGAGTGAGATGGAATCTTAGTGTGATTTTAATTTGCATTTGTCTAATTGCTAGAGATGTGGGACATTTTTGCACATATTTGTTCACCATTCATATTTCTTTTTCTGTGAAGTGCCTGTTCAGTTCCTTTGACCATTTATTGGTTGGGTTATCTGGGGTGTTTTGGTGTTATTTTGAGTGTTTTATATATCCTGGAGATTACTGCTCTATCTGAGGAGCAGCTGGCAAAGATTTTCTACCTTTCTGTAGGCTCTCTCTTCATGTTATTGAGGGTTTCCTTTGCTGTGAAGAAGCTTTTTAGTTTGATATCATCCTATTTATTGATTCTTGATTTTATTTCTTGCACTCTAGGAGTCTTGTTGAGGGATTTGGTTCCTAAGCTGACATGATGGAGAGTTGGGCCTACATTTTCTTCTAGTAGGTACAGGGTCTCTGGTCTAATGCTTACATCCTCCATCCACTTTGAGTTGAGTTTTATGTAGGTGAGAGGTAGGGGTTAAACTTCATCCTACCACAAACCGATTTCCAGTCTCCTCATCACCATTTGTTGAAGAGACTATCTTTTCTCCTATGCATGTTTATGACGCCCTTGTCTAGTATGAATAACTGAATTTATGTGGATTTGTCTCTGTATCTTCTATTCTGTTCCATTGGTCTTCATGTCTTTTATTTTGTGCCAATACTAAGTCTTTTTTTTTTTAACTATAGTTCTGTAGTTTAATTTAAGGTCTGGTATTTCGATGCCTCCTGCTTCACTTTTTCATGCGAGGGATTGCTTTGGCTATTCTGGGCCTCTGTTTTTTCCAAATGAATTTCATGACTGATTTTTCTATTTCTATGAAGAATGTTATTGGAATTTTAACAGGAATTGCACTAAATCTGTATAGCACTTTGTGTAGTATGGCCATTTCTACAATAATTTGGCCTATCCAAGAACATGGGAAGTTTTTCCATCTTCTAAGGTCTTATTCATATTTTTTTCATGTTCCATAGTTTTCATTGTAGAGGGCTTTTACCTCTCTTTTTTAGATTGATTCACAAGTTGTTTTTTTTTTTTTTTTTGAGGATATCGTGAATGGGGTAGTTTTACTAATTTCTCTTTCAGTTGATTCATCGTTGGTATATAGGAATTCAATTGATATCTCAGTGTTAATTTTGTATCCTGCTAATTTGCTGAAAGTGTTTATGAGTTCTAGAAGTTTTCCAATAGAGTTTTTTTGGGTCTTCTAAATATAGAATCATGTCATTGGCAAATAGGGATAATTTATGCTCTTCTTTTTCTATTCATATCCCTTTAATTTCTTTCCTTTGCCTAATTGCTCTGGCTAGAGTTTCAAGGACTATGTTGAATAGAAGTGGTAAAAGATGGCGTTCCTGTCTTATTCCAGTTTTTAGAGGGAATGCATACAATTTTTCACCATTTAGAATGATGTTGGCTTTGTGTTTAACATATATAGCTTTTACAATGTTGAGGTATGCTTCAACTATCCCTAGTTTTTCTAGTGTTTTTAACATGAATTTATGGTGTATTTTGTCAAATGCTTTTTCTGCATCTGAGATAATCATGTGATTCTTGTCTTTGGGATTGGCTTACTGACTTGGAGTTGGCTTATTGATTATCTATTGATGTGATTAATTACACTTATTGATTTCTATACATTAAACCAACTTCACATCCCTTGGATGAACCCCATATGATAAGCATAATGGTTTTGCCCCTATGACCAATAGCCCGGATAAGAGCAATTTTAGAGAAAGCAAAGATTTTTTGATGCTTGTGGTTTCAGAAGTCCAGTTCATACACTGCCAGCTCCACTGCTCTGGGGCCAAGATGAGGCAGAAATTCATGGGAGAAAGGTGTGGTGGAGGAAAACAGCTCAGGACTTGTCCAACCAGAAGGAGAGAGCTCTGTCTGCTCAACAAGGACAAAATAAACCCAAAGGCACCCCTCAATCATCCACCTCCTCTAGCCACACCCTACCTGACCATAATTACCACCCAGCTAATAGAGTAAAATGGATTCCTGCACCAATTAAGTTAAAGCTCTTCTAACCCAATCATTTCACCTCTGAACATTTTTGTATTGTCTCACACATGAGCTTTGGGAGGACACTTAATATCTAAACTATAACACATTATATAGAGATAATTAGTTCTAGGAAAAAGCTACATAAAGCAAATTAATCTCCCTAAAATTAATATCAGTCATTCATATCAAACAAATCTGCCAGAATTTTAGTTTATAATTAAAACTAAAAATTATAAAAATAAGAATGTTTCAACACAGCTAACACATTGTAAGCTGTTATTGAAATTATGAAAAATTTGGATAAGCAAGATGTGATTTAATTGAACATTGAGTAAAATAGCAAAAGTTCTGTGGCAAAAATATTAATGGACTTTAAAATGGACTTCTCCTGATCTTTAATATGAAAATTATGTTTGAGATCGTATTATAATAGTTATCAGGTATTAGGGAACTCCTATTTAAAAGTGATCATATCTAAATCTCATAGTATATTAATATGAGTATTTAGTTGTAGATATATTAATCCAATAATAATTACCAATTCTCTTTTATATACAGAGTAATATTTTCCTGAAAATATGTTTAGTCTGGCCAATTTCTCAGCCTGTTCTTTTGTATGGTTTCACCACCTTCCTCTCCAATGGTCCCAACCTCATTGGTACAGAGAGAAGAAAACTTTTTCTTTTAAAAAAAAAGTTATAATTTTTTTGTATCTTACCCAAGTAGGCCTAAAAGTCTTATCAAAACTTTCCATTGTGCAAATGGTATTGAGGTATAATATGTAGTATATTAAAGTACAGGTATAGGTTTTTTCCCTCTTCCTATTTAAATTTTTAAAAATTACTTTTTGTACAACAATTCTTGAAAAAAGTTGTTAACTTTATCTCTTGAAATTAGTCCAATTAGTTCCTTTCCATGAATTTGAGAATCTGATAAGGCAAATAAATATAAGTAGTGTTTATTAAGTAATTTGTTTAAACCAATATGAGTCACAATTTTTGATAGGTAGGTTTTTAGGTTTAATTTGAATAAAGTTTATAAATTTTCTTTAATTAACATTATTTTGAATATGAAAAATTTATTAGTGGCATTTAAATTAAATTATAGCCTATGATACAGTTTACACAAGACTTTTAAAAATGCCATTTTCTTACTGAGTTGCATGTATATAATTATAAAATTATTATACACATGTGTTGGTTTTATGATGATTTTAATAGGCCTATAAATGCATTTTGCTTTTGCTGTTTTGGAACTAAAAATAAATAAGTTTGTCTCTTTAATCTGAATCCTATGCTCTTTGTTGTTTTGCCTAGTTGCTCAATTCTGGGTAGAATGTGAGATAGTTCGAATGGATTTTATTTTCAAATGAAATGAGACAATTTCAGTGCTTATTCCTAATGCTTCTTAAAAAATGCCTTCTTGCACATGTAAGAAAGTGAAAGTCACAGCCTTACTGCATCTCACTTCAAATACTAATAATGAACTCAATCTAATGACCATAGTTCTACTTTAAAAGACTAAAAGATCTATAACAAAATTGCTTATAAAACAGCCTTATTCTCTATGCATCATCTTTTGCAAACCCCTGGTGACCTCTTGTGGAACTTTTGTGTTTCATGAACCTCATTTGACAAACTCTGTTCTAGGAGCTTGGATAATGAATATGAAGATAATGTGAACCCCTGTACATAATTATTAACCTAAAATATTTTTAACAATAACATATCACCCGAAGTCATGTTACCCATACCTTAAGAAACACTGCCTAAAAGAACAAGTAAAACCTGGATATGCTACAAAACTGAATAAGGGCAAGCCAAATGAGGAAAATATTTAGAGCAAAAGTCAACAGGTCACAGAATTCTATAATACATTGAACTGGTTGACATCAACAAAGAACCCTGAGAGAAATAGAAATGCCTAACATTGTAGGAAAAAAAAATAAGGGTGATTCATAGAGGTCTTGAACTGAGGAAGAAAAGGGTTTTGAGAATATGCTAAGGTTTCGAGGGGTGAGTGAAACTGATGAGGGTGATTGAGAGAAGATTTATTGGCAAGATGGGAAGAATCTAGAAGGAGACAGGAAAATACAGACATAGTTGTAATTCATGCAATTGGAAACAAGGACCGGACAAGAATGATGGCAACAGAAATGAAATGAGATGGTTATGAGACACGTGGGGTTATAGAGTTGATGTTATTTGGGATCAGCTTGAAATGAGCATATCCTAGTAATGGTTATGGTATTTCCATACTCAAAAATATTAGAAACATGGACTTGACTGGCATTTTTTGAAAGTCCTGGTAGGCTGCGTTTTTTCCTAAGACTCATCAGACACTATTCCTGCCATGTCCTGCAGGATATGCAACAGTGGCAGATCTTCTGATTTTTCCTGAAAAAGTAAAAAATTCAGCTACTCTGGAATTGTCTCATTTTAAACATCAGCAATTCAATTGTTTGTTAACAAAATAAGATGGCAATAAGAGTAGGTTAGACATGATTGCCAACTTGCAGCTTCTGGAATTCTCTGGGGGCTTTTTGATTGTTTTTACTTTTACTTTTTATTTTTATTTATTTATTTTTGCTTGTGCTGGATATGGAACCCAGAGCCTCACACATGGTAGGCAAGCACTTTACCACTGAGCTACACCTCCAATCCCCTTTGTGCTTCTTTCTAAAATCACCTTAAACTGCATCTCACACCAAAAGGAAATTGTCCCTTTTAGAAGCCTGTCTGTGCAATTTCTTATTAGCAGGAAGCTCATAGAAAGGCCTTTTTTTAGCAGCTAATATTTTCCTTTTGTTGGATATTGATTTGAAAGTTATAAGCCTTTCTCTGCTTCTTCCCAGCCAGGTCTCTAGACAAACTTTATAACTTTGCTGATTGCTCTGGACTCCACCTGATATTTGCTCTAAATGCACTGCGTCGTAATCCCAATAACTCCTGGAACAGTTCTAGTGCCCTGAGTCTGTTGAAGTACAGCGCCAGCAAAAAGTACAACATTTCTTGGGAACTGGGTAATGGTAAGTAAGGATATTATTTCCTCTGAATTGGCAAGATAAAGGAGAAGAAAATAAGTTGGTTTGGGATATAATCTCAATCATCAGACCGTCTCTAGTATACTAGTCCAGAAATTATTTGGGATATTTAGTCCACTGAGTTAAATATGCATATAGTAAAAGACCAAATAGTTAAGGACAGTAGACTTGGTGAAGCCACTCCATTTGCATTTACAGTTATCTTTCTAAAAGATAAGGAAAATGGTACAAAAATGAGGAAAATATGGTCAGTGACTTGTGACTAACAAGTTGATGTTAACTAGATACAAACTCTCAGCACAACCTGAGCTTCAATGTACAATGTTCATTCTACAGAATATTGGCCTTACAAGATGATCCTTATAAAATCATAATTCAAAAGAGCTATGCTCAAATATATTTGAGGAATGCTGTATGGTACAAGAACCTCTTGAGGGTTCACAATGTACATTAGCATGTAAAGTCTCTGAGAAGTTCTGCTACACAGAAATCTGTTCAACATTATTTAACCTAGCATTTTGTAAGCTGTTTAATCAAGGTAGGTTTTTCCCCCGATTGGTACCCAGGGGCTCGTAATGACTGAGCCACATCCCCAGATGTTTTTACTTTTTATTTTGAGACAGGGTCTCGCTAAGTTGTTTAGGGTCTTGCTGAGTTGCTGAAGCTGGCTTTGAACTCTCAGTCCTCCTGCCTCAGCCTCCTGAGCTACCGGGATTATAGACATGTACCACCTCAAGACTATTTTCAGGTGTATGTAACCTGTGTAGTCATATAGGACCCCTCAGTTAGAAGAGACTCATTCTTGGTTTACTGTTCTGCTGTTGCCATCTTGAAATTTTTGATAACTTTTTAAAAAGGGGATTCACACTTTTATTTTGTATGGGGTCCTGAAAATAATGTAGCTATTCCTGATTAACCACTGAATTATTTGTATGTGTGTGCATGTGCATGCTCTATGCTGTGTGTGTGTATGTGTAACATCTGTTATTGTTCTTTCCATGAAACAATAGTCCATGGCAGAGTTTGATATTTCCAAAATTATGTTTTCTCAATAATATATGTTTGTGCATGATATATACACTATTCTGTAGATTCCATGACTCTCTAATATTGAGTCAATCGATATAAGTTAGTTAAAATTATGGACAGTTATAAATCTGAAAATTCTGTTTCTCTAATTTAAAAAAAAAAGACTTTTTGGCAAAACTTAGACAAAAACAATTTGGTCTAACAAAAGACTTTTCTTAAAATTACTATTACAAATTTATTTCAACATTTTTGCTCATGGCCTTGCATGTCTGTAGCTAATTCATATTTGTTTGTATGTATGTATGCACATGCACACATATGTGATTTATATTCACACATAAATTTACTGCATTCCAGAATGTGAAGTTCTCATAAGATGGTAAAGGAGAAGGGTCTTGTAGGGATAATGTCCTGTTTTCTTATCAGTAGCCATTAATTGGAATGCGGGGAATGTAGCTTTAATGTTACCCCCCTCATTCTTTTTTCTTTCATCTTCCCTCAGAATGGGAGAAATCTTGGGAGAGTTCAGGTAGAGAGCTGTAGCCTCTGCTGAACAGCACAGTACATGGTCTGCCTTCAGTCTGTCTTTATTTGTTTGCTTTGTAAAAATCCTGTGATACCTAAATAAAACTGTTTTGTAAAAAAATCTCAACTAGTTATAGATAAGTCTAAAGCAATTAAAACTTCTCTATGAGCAACTGATGGAAATGATTCCTCTAGATGTTTTGGGATCTCTGAGTGTGAGAGCTTGTTAAACTTAATATTCAGTTGACATACCTGGAGTGATTTGGTGTTAGGATGGGTTGAAGGACCCATATTTCTATATACTTTTATGTCTTCTGAGATTTTGCCCTTACCCATTCACCTTCTCCCCTCAAACTATGCTAAACAGCTCAGAGATGGAGCTAATTACTTTAAAAGAATGTTAGTCACTAAGCCCTTCAACTCTTGATTCCTATCTTCAAGAAGGCCACTTCAGGCCCTTAACAAAGAGAATCATTTATGAGAAGGAAAGGCTCTGTCATAGATAAGACAATAGGAATATAAATAAGAATAAATAGGAATATAATCAGATCCATTCAATGAGGTGGAAAGAATGCAGTAATGCTGTTGAGAGCATTCCTGTAGGTAATTTTCTGTCTCTAGTCAGGAAGTCTAGAGTTAAGCTGCATTGTCAAACCCCACCCACCATCCCCACCACCTACTCTTTTAAAAACTTCATTTCTATTTTTTATATGATTTTAATAAATTATCTGCCCATCTAAGCTTGCCTTTTAGGAACTGAACAATAATCATTTTGTTCTTTGTTTAATTAATTTATCAACTACTAATAGTTTTCCTTGTGCTAGAATCATATCCTTTCTGATATCCAGTGTATTCTGCCCACAATTATTCCTGTCAGAAATGATCTGCATGGTCATCCTCTGGCCTAAACGTATTTCCCCAGTCTTCTTTCCATTTCTTCTTTGTAACCTTATTTTGTTTTGGACAGAGGTAATAGTGTAATCTTTATGTTCCAATCTCAAGAAGGACAATAGAACTAGTCAGTCTTCATCACTCATTCTTTCCATATACTTATACCCTGTTAACAAGCATTTTATCTTTAGAGAATATCTGGTGTTGGAAAAGCCAAATAGGCATTTCTTTGTTTGCTTCTCCTAGAGTGGCTAAATTTCAAGTGACTAACCTACTTTTTTTAATCCTTTGAAATTAGTGAATATCAAAGCAAGGTATATGTAATATCAAGAGATAAAGCTTAAGAACATTTAGGATGTCAAAAATCTATGAAAGAATGACTTTCCTGATACAATATTTCATTCTGTGGTAAAAATGTTTCCTTAAATATCCATAAATTATAAACTTTGTAACTGATTAATAGTAGGTGATGATTATAATCTTTTGTATTTCTGTTAACCATCAATGAATCAAAAATAAGGAAAAACTGAGAAAAATTTGAAGTGGAAACCCAAACTGTGGACATATATAAGAATTTCAGTCAAACTCTGAGGAAATAGCGTTTGCTCTTTAGAAGAGAGAAAATAATAAAAATTACCTTAAGATAATGTGAAAACTTTAATTGAATGACCACCACAATACATTATGAACTATAAATGTGCTTCTCAAACAGATCTGCCCATTTCTATAAGAAAGTATAAACTACCATAATTAATTACTCAATTAGTATCATATATTTATACCTACATCTCACCTATATATATTTACCCATTATTCTCTGATTTTAATTTCATGACTCAGGTCCTTGGAGCCTGTCCTTTGAGTGATTTGATAAAGTCAAATTTATTACCTTAGCAATTTTAGCCCTTTAGAGATGATGATTCTGCTTATTCTGGAAGTCCAGTTTTATTTATTCTGTCAACATCTATTGAGCTTTTACTCTGCAATAATGTGGATAACTGTATAATATATTTATGCACATTTAAAATCAAATGTACATTTATACATTTTGAACACATGTACTTGTGTATATATAACAATAATAGCCTTGTAAAAGCCAAGGGTTGAACCACAGTCCTCAAATACATTGCCAACTATTTATGAACCTAAGTCACAGATCAGAGCTTTAGAGAACTGTCTTTTTAGAGGTGATAGTTTGATGGTTAAAGAAGGAGAGGAAGGGAAAAGAGGCTTACTCTTCTCCTTTCCCTCTCCCTGTGGGCTTCTCACCCCCTTCACCTTCTTCCTCTCAGTTCTTTCCCATATACTCTGTCCACATGCATACTCTCATGGCATTTAGTCATTCTTGTGTTTCATATGTATGTATTGGATATGTGCTTTGCAAAATATTATGCCAAGCTGAGGTGGAAATTGGAAGATATCCTTGAGCTCCTGCTCTGCTCTCTACTGTCTGGCTTGGCAGAGCACCTTGGGACAGAGTTAATAAACAGAATCAAGATTCTTGTCTCCTGAAGTTTATTACCTAAATGTAAAAGCAGGATAATCTTAAAACTGTTGAACTACATAAAGCTTCCTGTGCTAAAACTGGAGAAAGCATTTATACTTTGAAAGGAGTAAATAATAACTCAGGGAAGTTGATAAGCTGACAATTAATGTATGCTAAGAATAAAAATTGATGCACATAATTTATGATAAATTCATCATTTACTTTTGTAAGCACTTAAGTTAATTATCCTTTGGTTATTAAGGGAAGTTAGTAATATTTTAATTACATAAGTTCTTTATCTGAGTTTATTATTATAGTGGAGAATCTATATGAGATACCTAATTTAGGTATCTCACCTAAATTCTGGTTAGTGTCATGGTCAGGTAGTTAAGGAAAACACTTGTAATGTAGCTGCTCTGTGTGTGTGTGTGGGGGGGGCTATTGATCAATCATTGATATGACAAGGGCTACATTTGTTATTTTCACCAATCTGAGTCACTGTTGCAGTGTAGTAAACATGTTAAGGGACATAATAAATACTTTTCATCACCTTCTACTCATTTCCTAAATACCTGCCCTTTTTTGCCCAGCATCATTTACTGTGAAAGGGGACACAGCCACCTGACATGATCTAATAGAACTCTTGCCTGCTTTTTTTAAATAGCACATCAGTGACCTCAAAGACATACTAGCGATTTCTCTATCCAGATGAGGTCAAAAGGTATAGCAATCCTGATTTGATCTTTTTTTTTTTTTTTTTTTTTTTGGCCTATATTGAACACACACCACAGGAAGTGAGGCCAAATTCCATATCATTTAAAAGAGTGTGAGCTGTGATTAAGACTATGTGGCTTTCCCAAAAAAGCAAAGCCGTATAAAGAGGTTAAGCAGTTTAGTTGTTATCAGGAGGGCTTTGCAGGGAGGGGAGGATGGGCAGGACAGATAAAGAAAGGAATGAATACACTGAGCTCGTGGGGTTTCTCATATGGTGAACTTATTCTATGTGATGTTGTAATAATGGATGCACAATATTATGACCCTTTTAGAACATGGA